AGAAGAAGAAGATGGAGTCTGAAGAGAAGAAGAAGAAGAAGAAGAAGAAGAAGGAGAAGAAGAAGAAGGAGGAGGAGCCGAGGAGGAGAGAGAGAGAGAGAGGGGACTGACGATGGGAGGGGGGAGAGAACCTCCGGCTCCCTGATACCTCAGGCGGCGATGGCCGCCGGTCTGGCTCAGTCGCCCTGCTGCTGCTCCACTCGCCGCTGCTGCGCTAATGCTGCGCTGCGCTGCTCCTCGCTGCTCCTGCGCTAAAGATAGCGCCAGCGCTAATGTGCACTGTACCATACCGTACCGGTAGAGTGCCGGTAGGTCGATCCTTCGACTGAGGCTGGACCGGTTCTTTATACCGGTGGGGCAGAGGCCGGCCTCAATGCTGCGAGGCCTGGCCGTGCCCTGAACCGTCCAGATGGACGGTTCAGCCCCAACCGGCGGGCGGCAGCCTCAAGAGCGCCGCCAGGCCCAAACGGTAATGTCGTTTGGGCCTGCCCGTCGGGTCTGGTCCAAGGTGAGGCCTTTACGGCCTGTAGTACCCCCCAAGGTCGGGCCTTTGGCCCTACTGTGTCCTTCTACCCCTATGTTGGGTCCGGTAGGACCCGTGTGGTGTCGAAGATGTAACACCTAACCAGGTTGTTGCTGGATGAAGAGACTAATTTTCGAAGGGCACACAGAATGTTTACTCCACTCCCGGTGATTAATGACTCTTAAACCACCTGACCCTTCGCTTGCCTAGCCTGGGAACGCCCTGCGCGCCAAAAACAAATGGAGCGGCACAGACCTTTTATGTAGTGCCGCCAGCCATTTTGTCCCGGTAGGTTGACCCCCGAAGAGCGCGGCACGTACATGGCCGTGTCTTCGAAAAATGGGTGGGAAACGTACCAGTGTTTTAAGTAATGATACCTCCAGCATCTAATCTCTCAAATGACCCCTCTCAGCAATGTAAACCAGCAGTGGCGGGCCATAGACACGCTCACTACTGCCAGCGTCCTTCCATCACTTCTCCCTGCTGCAGATGTTAGGGGCAGCGTGATTTGGAACGGCAATCTGCCCAAGCATTTGCTGTATTCCAGTTGTTTGCTGTTTGTGTTTCGACCAGGATTTGGACCTGCGACCCAAACGAGATAAGTATAGTTGTCTGTTTTTCTTTGCTGTTTTGAACCTGGTGAGTTTTCAACCCAGGACGTGCGTGTCGAGCCTCTGTGAGCCTAGTGTAGAAGTAGGACCACCTATATCCGGACGTTCAGATGTTCGGATGGTACCAAAAAGACAGTCCGGATTCGGAGTCCAGATTTTTCTGGGGTCCAGGTCCAGAGTAACCATGGAACAAATCTACTGGATAACATGTGTGAAACATCAATTACTTTGAGGTGAATAGTGCAATCAGACTCAACTTCAGACTTGCTCACAACATGCACACTTGAGAACCGATGGCAGAACCAAACTCTTCCAACTCAGAAACAACAATGAACTCGTATTAAACTCAGTCTGAATCAACTGTACAACTTGCGGCTATGGCCACCGAACACTGTCTCTACCACCAGCCCCACTCTCACTCACTCTCGCATGCACGCACGTACAAGGATCACCCTGAATGTCCACGCTGCACAAACGCACACACTCAATACACCCTGTCTACACCAACAGCTGGGCGGCTATGGCCGCCGTCGTCTTTCTCCTCCTAGCTATGGCCGCTGGTGTCTCTCCCACTGGTTCGCTATGGCCGCTGTCTTCTTCACAGCCCACTTCTTCTCCGGGCACCTGCAGACCTCCACGCACAAGATACCAAGGCAGCACTTCCGCATGGCCCACAGGCGAATGAATCAATGGCTGGTCACTGCCTCTTTATTTATACTTCGTCGGAGGTGGCTGGGCCCTGCCCCAAAACGCATGGGCCTGGGCCAAAACGCGTGGGCCTGGGTCTCTCCAGAACGCGTGAACCCGGGCCTGGAAGCTTCCAACACGTGGGCCTTCTGGGCCAAAATGCGTGGAACTCTCCACGTGCTCAAGAACCTTCCCCACGTGCAGCCCTTACCCAGGTACCTGCTGACTGGACTGCCTACAGGGACCTACGACCTTCTAGAGTCTACGGACTTACAGACAGACGCTAGGCCCACAGTAGACTTAGGTAGAGACTTCTAGAACAGACTCTTTAGGCCTACCGGTAACAGACTCAACTCCTAACCTACAGACCTAGGGATCAAGTACTGCACAGATCGCTGGGCCTATGTACAAGGTACAGGGTAGGTCTAGGGATCGAATCTCACTCAGCACACAGGGTCAATGTACAGGGTTTGGGCACAGGTCTAGGGATCGAATCTCTGTGTCTGCAAGTGTCGGGTTAACTGGGTGAAACCGTTTCAATAGTGCTGAATACAACTTGTAAAATAACGGCCATCAGTGATCGCTGGAAAAAAAATGGGTGACTTGGAAGGATCTCACCTCCAGTGTTATCCGTGGTTCCATGCTTGCATGGGGGTCAAACCCATCTGGACCCACCCTCGTATCATCATATGATGGCAGCATGCAGTCTGGCTTTTTTACATAGCCACATCCGCCATTGGCTCTGAAGAAACCATGTGTCATCCAAAGTCGCTGCCCAGGCTTTTGCATGTTCACTGCCACAAACTGGACACCATGCATCCAGCCATTCATTGGCTTTGGATTTGATGAATCAAATCGTAGACCGAATGGGTACATTCTTCCAAGGTGACGATGACACATTCTGCAAGAGCATGAAGAAATGAATTCAACCACAAACAAGTCGTCCTTCTACCACGTTAGGAATTGCCCATCCATGCGTACAAAAATTCACAAGAAACGCAAAACGAACTTGAAAGAGGATAGACAAAGGGGGTTTGTAGAGAGCGCAGAGAAAGCGGGAAAAATAAATGAAATGGAATGATACAGTTGATACTTACAGAACTCCTCCACTGCATGCCATTATCAAACCCCACAGTTGAAAGTCCCATACTTGGGACGGACAACCTCACCCCCAACGCTGCTTTCTGGCCAGAGTTAGCATGCCAGGAAACCGCACTGTAGGACGGTGTGCCAATAATTTTTGGTATGTGTGGTTGTGGAGTTCCGGGTCGGAGCCGCTATCTCCATGTATCAGGTCAAGCGGGGCTCTCAGAAGGCATCTTGTGGGGAAGAAGTTTGGGCAATTTGAGCGAGGTGAGGGTGGGAAGCAAAATAGGGATGGACTAAAACCACAGGGACAAGGAGGAAGAAAGCAAAATATACAAATGGCCATTTCAAATATCTCTAGAAAGAAATAGGGCAATCAGCCCACAATTCACATGCAATAACCCATGCCATATGTCTCGTGGAAATCTGAGGGCCAACCTGGCCGCCCTCAGCCAGGCCAAAAACGAGGCAAGGGACCCCACACAGGGATTCAGGGCCTGGACGTGCCACAGTTGACTTCTGTCAACTGTCGCGAACCCAACAGTCAAAGTCCAAAGGTACCCAGTCCAGGCCGCCGGTCAAGCACACACACTTGTTTGTATGCAGGTACCCAGACAGCATCAAGTCCAAGGGGGAATGCTGCAACTGTACAATCCAGGCCTTCGGCTGTGACTCAATCTGGACGACTGAGGGGAGCAGACCCGAGGCCAGAGAGCCTCGTCAAACACTACTTAAAGTCTGGCCTTGAGGTGGTCAATATTCAGTCTTGCTATGCTGGTTCAACGCTGGCTTGACTTTGACTTGATGCTGGCATTATGCTAGTGCGACGCTGGCTGGACGCTAGCTGTGCATCAGAGCTGCGGACAACACGAGGGGGAGGCGACACTGGCAATGTACGTCAGGCATGCTGACGTGGCGCTGCCTCTGGTATATGTGCCTGTGGTCTACGTGGCATGCTGACGTGGCACTGCCTCTGGTATATGTGGCGCTGCCTGTGGTCTACGTGGCATGCTGACGTGGCGCTGCCTCTGGTATATGTGGCGCTGTTATTCATTGATGATGTGCAATATGCCACCTGTCTTGGTTGCTGACGTGGCATTGTCCACGCTGTCTACATGAGGTGACTGGTTGCGAGGAAGAGGAAGATCGAGGTCGTGAATACATACCTGATTGTCTCCATATTGACATTGCTCCAGCACTGATGAGAGACTAATTAGACGTGCCACTTGGCACATTGGGTTACTTCAGATACTCGTTCAGACTGTTGATTATTGAAGTGGTGTTGGAGGAGGGAGCCCGAAGCAGGAGTGGGCATTGTGTTTACTTCCTCTCCTTTGTCTAATCTCCCTTCTCTCTCCTTCGTCTGTGTATGAATATCTCGTCTCATTCTGTCTGAACACGATCTTGTTTATTGGTAATCATCAGTTGTTGCATCTGGACTTGCATTATTGATATCTGTCTGCACGATCTGGGTTCATTACAATTTGGTATCAGAGCATCTCTTCATCGCGATCTGCTGTCTGCTGTCAGGTGCTGACGTGGCACCCAGGTAAGTGGGAGGTGCCGCAAGTGCAATATGAAACACGTTTATTAACGCGCGCGGTCATACCGCAAGGCTAGACATGGTAGTAGTGCACTTGCGAGTAACCGTCCCTTGAAGGTGATGACAAGGCTACGCTGAAGGAGCTGCGTTGGCAACAGGCTGACGTGGCATTGGTACCGCTGATGTGGCATATTGTTTCTTGGCAGGGTATGGTCTGACATGGCACGTATCTGTGCCGTGATTACCTGCTGATTGGGCATTGACGTGGCATGCCAGTGTATGCGTGTTACAAGCACACATTGCTGACGTGGCATCCCCCTTGTATACCTCCGGGTTCTTGATGTGCTGACATGGCAGACTCCAACGAGCTGCTGTGTTGGCATGCCAGGGGTGACACGTGGCATGTGTTGGGTGAGTTGTCGAGTGTGTTGGTCGCTGCAGGCAGTACAGCTATAGGGAGAGGAGGCTGACAATTGTTTGTGATTGTTGTGTTGGTTTCCTACTTACCTGTTGGCTGTTCTGTGGTGTCCTTGCATACTCACCTGTGTGCTGATGTCTTGATCACACTGGCCGTGGCTGCGGTACTTGTACACATGCTGTAGGATGTCATCACACATAGAGTAGGAAGAACAGACAGCGAAATTAGACTCAGGGATTGATTGAGAATCTGTTTCTTTGTAATTGCCTTCGACAATTCTTGCTGTGAGAGTAGCGTGCGTCGTGGAATTTATTTTTGTCTTTTAATTTTATTTATTGTGCGGCATTTGCATGCTTGGCAGAATGAACTCTCTTTGGAAGTGTTTGTATGCCTCTATCTTGACTCGGTTCATACAGCTCTTCTTCTTTCCCATCCCTCTCACAGTCTTTGCCGATGAAGAGAGAGCGAAACTGAAAACCCGCGTACAGATTGACGGAAGGAGACAAACTTTGTTGGGTCTCCTTCGCCAGCTGCTTGGCGAGATACATGGTGCCGGACCGGAGGCTGAACAGCATGTTCAAGGACAGGTCAATCTGCGTGATGCAGAGGGAGACCTGCAGGCCGCTGAAACCGTTGTTCAGATGATGGAGACAGGCAAGACGGTATAAAACCTCATAAAACAAGGACGACTGATCCTTGATCGGTACGTCGCCGAGAGCCTTGAAAAGCTAGACCAGAAAAGAAATGGAAAAGAAGAAGAGAGGGTTGGAAGAAAAGAACCACAATTGTCTGTGGAATTGATGGAGGAAAACATCAGACAACTTGAAAACACATTGAAAGAAGAGAGAAGAAAGATTGAAGAGTATAGAAGATTGAAAGAACAGCAAGAAGAAGAAGAGAAAGTAATGGAAGAGTTGAGTCAAAGGTTTCACTACGAAGAAGCAAGAATTGAGGTTGCATCTATTCTCCAGTCTATCATGGTCTACCTCATGCATCTTGAAAAGAAGATTGATAAGAAAACCGCTGCAGTTGAGTCCATAACCAGAATGATGAAAAGGAAAGACAAGGTGGTGTATGAAGAGGTGGTCAAGGGGGAAGAAGATAAGAAACCCCAGGAGAAACTAATGAAGGATGCAATGAAACGGGTCACGCCCGAGAAACCCGAAGGTTCTAAGAAAGAACCCGAGAAGCCGAATGAGAAGAAAGAAGAACCCACCAGAAAGAAAGAAGAACCAGCAAAAGAAGCGGAAAAACCCAAGAAGAAAGAAAAGGTGAAAATGAAATTGCCTTTCACCTACAGCAACAAGAAAAAGAGGAAAACTTGTTGTTGTGGATTGTCGAAATCCAGACTTATTGTAGTACCGCACCCGTGGAACCCAAGAGTCAGGTTGCTTTCTCCACGTCTTGTCTCCGAGGAGTGGCCAAAGAATGGGTGCTAGCAGAGGCCAATGCTGCTGGCTTCGAAGATATTGGTGAGTGGGCCAAGACCCTTACTCTCAGGCAATTTATCCAGAAGATTAAGGAGAGGTTCCTAGATAAGACAACGGCCGACAAGGCCTCCGATGAGCTCACCACGATAGGCCAAAAACGTTGGACTTCTGTCGATGCCTTGTCTCGTGAAGTGGACCGTCTGTTGCAGGTACCTGGACTGAACCTTCAGGACAACCAAGTTCTTTACATCTACTCACGTGCATTGCCCGAGCCCATTCATGGACAGCTCGTGGCCGAAGCAAAGTCTGGTAAGTATAATTATCGGCAGTTTCGTGACCTTGCTCTTCAGAGAGAGCAAATGACCGCACAGGTCAAAGGTACGTACGCTTCAGTAGTTAAGACGGGACCGGTTGGTGGGTACGGCAAGCGGATCCTCTGGCGGCAAAAGCGCCAGGACCATATGCTTGTGTTATTTGATGATGAAACAGTAGAAAAGTTACATCTTGGTGAGTCTGAGGGAGGAGGAGGTAACAGCGGCAGTGAATCTGAGAAGGGTGATGTCACTGTCGTATTGGCTAACAGGGGAGGCCAAAACCAATAAAAGAAGAAGAAGAGGCCACGCTCGTTTCCCGAGCATCCCGGCATCGCGTTCGGGAGACCTTGGGAAAAGATGAACATGACTCGGGAGAAATGGCAGTCCAAGATGGACAACCACCAATGCCTCAAGTGCGGCACCGTGGGGCATGTGATAGCCTGGTGCCCACTTATTCGTAACCTAAAAGCGAGCAGCCAGTAGGGGTAGCATCTGCTCCTACTGAGTCGAGGGGTGCAGACGAAGGCAAAGGTAAGGCGCCTACAACCCCTTCTACCCCTTCGACTCTCAAGGCAGAGGATGGCTCTTCTTCCGCCCATCGTCAAGAACACCCTGACACTGTGCTTTGTTTTGTCTCACTGGACGATTCCCTTGATGAACTCGGTAATGAACTAATGACACTAAGGAGTTTGTGGGCGAAGAAAACAAAATCTAAGGGTGAGTTAATGATAGCGGATGTTGAGATTGCGCACACGCGAGTAGGTGCTCTGTTAGATCCGGGTTCGACGAGGTCTTATATCTCAGAGAAGGCAATTCGAAAGTTGCATCTGGGAATGAAGGTAAAGGATTTACCTAGACCTATCACGTCTACATTGGCTGATAAGAGCACGATCACTGTCTCTCGATACGTCGATCGTGTTAAGTGTTACTTCAGGACCAAGGAAGGTAAGAAGATTTTACACGAGGTATCCTTCCTGATAGAGAAGAATTTACCCTTTGACTTAATTTTGGGTATGGATTGGCATGAGGACGCCGACCCAGAAGTTAAGTTCAAAGATAAGATTGTCAAACTCAAGGACGAAAAGTCCGAACTGCGTGTGTATAAGTCTG